AAAAAAATGTAGATATATAAATTAAAACCGATATGAGAACAATATGCCGCAGCGGTCTAAGTTGGATCACGGTGCTTCTAAATAATTGTGCGTGTGAATGTATATACTACATATGTAATTCTTTAATTGTGCGCCGAAATTTTTTCAGATTTGAAACGCAACACTAATAAACTACGACAGTAATATCGCGAGTTAAATTGACTTACAATTTAACGATTATTGATTAAATTATAATATATATTGATTAAATTATATAAATTAAATTTTCTTGAAATATATATAATAATATATACTATATAAAGTTATTGCCAATGTGCTCACATTTAAGAGAATTATAATTTTTCGGAATGCCTGCGGAATATCTGTCGAATATGTAATGATATGCTCGAATGGAATATTTTAATCCAGGTTTGATCGTTATAGGCTGTCTTCTTGTTTGGAATATTTTAAGTTTTTATTTTATACTACGTTCCCCCTATTTATTGTTTTATTTCAAAATATTATATGTATAATAAAATATAGATATATATATATGTATATAATATCTATTTTTCTATACGGTGGTATTAAAATATTATTTTAAGATCTTACGAATATTTTATCAATATTTCAGGACATGTAGCGTTAGTTAAATTTGTATAGCAAAATATTTGAATTATTCGAATTTTAAACATGACAAATTGATATTACATACCGATCATTGTACTTAAATAAGTTGATCTGTTCGGAGATTTGAATTACATACATATAAAATACAAACTAACATATTCGAACAGAATTGTCTCTTTTTTTTTGCTTCAAACTATTTTAACACATCAAATTTTTTATTTCAGCCTTATTTTTACGGATCTAACTTACTGAAATATCATATTGCTGTGCATAACGTATTGCTTGAGTAGTTGATAAGCTAAAATTCCTCTTTCAAGAGACTTGTCCTCATCGTTATCATTCTGCATTCCACAGATTTTTTCCTTGTTATCAATCGAGATAATGTTGCGCTCTAGGATTGCCAGCTGGCAACAGGCGACCGTGATCAAGCCCGTCATCAGTGTATCCATCGCCACGTTATGAAAGCAAGCAATTATAATAGCTATGCCCTGATGCGTTGCGGTGATTTCGAAAGCCGGCGTCGCCGTCGTATTATAAGGGTACCATCCCTCCATAGGCAGCTGGCGTGAACGACCAGCGATCAGATCAGCGACTGGAGTAAAACCCCAACAAAATACCGCAATTCCGCCGAAACTTTGATAAATCGCATGATGAAAGATACCTTTCCACGCGTAACTTATGAGTAAATCCTCATATTTTTTATCGTAGCGACTAAATGCAGAACTGTCGGCTATGTCTAGGAGCGTCTGGATCCGCGTCTGACGACGAAGAAGAACAATCACCTAAAAATATCGATCTTTTACTTTTGATCTATACGTATATATATATTTTTCAAGATTAAAATCTATTTAAAAACTCTGCCAAATTTTATACTCTTTCTCTTTTTTGCAGGCCGACTTTACATTAACATTTTATTTACAATATATATAATTTATTATTTTTATTATTAATTTTTATATTATATATGATTATATATATGACTGATAATGATTCTGTGCATTTTTCGAAACGAAGTGCTTTATTAGAAAAGACTAAATCATATATGTAAGATTATAAATAACATCTTTTTTACTTATTCAATATCGTTATTTTTTTTTGTATTGTTTAAAGAGTAAAAAAGAAGATGTAAAGAAGAATGGTAAATCTTGAAAACAACGGATCCACTTCCAATGATTTTGACCTTTATCTTAACATATACATATATTGTCAAAGTCATGGTCCTGAGTGATTTCCAGAAGCTCGCGCTCGCTATTCGTTTAAAAGTTATTAATAAAAATAAGTTTTGCTATATATAATAAAACAAAAATTTTTTGTTGTATAGAATAATAATCTTCTGTTTTAGAATAAATTTTTTGTTTTGAAAACATTATTTTCTTGTATAATTTTTGTAAAACTGAGAATTTGGTTTTATAAAGCAGAAAATTTGTGATTTTGTAACAACTTTTTATTTGAAGCAAGGTCTACTCCACCTTTCTCCCCATCTGCCTATGGACGCACAACTTTCTATGGGCTAGGGAATGTAAAGCCCCCACTGTCCACGGTGCTAGAACTCGGTCTGAGTTCGTAGATCCAGAAATACATATTGTGTAACCAAGTAACATGTAGTTTTTACGAAAAATAACTAATTTCCGATCCGAGAATTCAGATCGAGTTCAAGCACCGCTTAAACTGAACACACGCTTAATATTAAGTTGCAAAAATAACGTCGGTATTTATTATTTTAAACTTTGGAGGCTTTTTTCTACAATAAGGATATGTTTGATTGTGTTCATGTTGTATCAATTTCAAGCGCAGATTCGCTTTATTAATTGTGCTAGTGTAATTTAAATTTGTTTTTAATATTAACTTTATGATCAAATATTATCATTATTATTAAGTATAAAAAAGAAACAATTTTGAATATTTTGAATACAAATTCAAACTAGGTTTTAAAACAACAGAAATAAGTTGAAGAATTAATGAAACATTTGCCTAGGAAACTACAAGTATAGTGATCAAAAATTTCGTAATGGCCGAGATAACAGTCTTGAAAATGAAAAGAGTCTGGGATCTGCAGTTATTGACAGTGACTTTGAACAATTATTGAAGCGGATCTATTAAAAATCACTCAAGAGATTGCACAGGAACTAATCAATTAACAGTTTTTGATCAATCAATAATTTGTCATCAATCAATAGTTGTTTGATCAATTAATGGACAATTAATGGTGGATCTCGTTTTGCGTGGAAAATCATGACTTCCTGTAAAATATGTGGCGTAACTGAGATATCTATCCGCTATACCTATCACGGTAAAGTCGTAAAAGTATAAAATAATTCCAATTGAACCGTGTTCAATTGTACGCCAAGTAACGATAAAAATAACTGTAAAATTCGTTATCGTTACAGTTACCAAAAAAAGTAACGCAGTAAATAAAGACACGCAGTAAATAATTCTAAAATAATTGCAGTCACCTTCGAAGCATGGGTGCAATTCGTCATTAGTAAAGTCGCAACTGCGGTGAGTTTTGACATATCTCCCCAGTTTGCGAGAACATTGGCTATTTCGGCGGAGAGTAAGATGCCCAGGATGAAAATGAAGCTACAGACGGTGTAAAGTAGATATGGTAATCGAAACTTGCCCTTAACTGGTGGCCACGTGCCCAGAAAGTAGACAATTGTTAGACTCACCCTTAGGTGAAAATTCGGTGCAATCATTTCTCGTTCTTTCATTTTCTACTTGAAGAACTACTTGAGTGTCATAAAGAGTTCGGTAAGACTCTACGAAAATAAAGATCGTTTGACTTTTTTTACACTTTTCTTATAAACATATAATTTTTCACTTTTACTTAATTCCTATCTAACGTGATTAGTTAAAAGCTCATTAACAACAAGTAATTTAATCATTAATTTGATTAGATTTGACAGAAATTCAAATATATAAATAATAATCACTCGTATTTAAATTACAAAATTGTATATAATATAGTTTGTAAATTAATTAAAAGCAAGAAATTTTTGTAAATAAAATGATTGTAATTTATTATGTTTATATGAGGAATTAACGTTAGATTTTACTTTGAAGAGATGCATAAGATCGCCTATTCACGAAAGGTTACGGTTATCTTTTATCGCTTAATGATTCACAGAGATACAATATGCCGTCTGAATGCTTCCCTTTATAGTTACACGTTTAGGTCGCTTAAATTGAAGTGCTTTTGCAATACTGGGCAATTTCCTCTAATTCGAGAGAAATTCCATAGATTCTCCAGAAATTATAGCATTACATAATACTAACTTGTAATCAATCGAATCGCTCCACTTTCATCATATGCGCGAATTATTTATGAGCCATATACGGCTTTTATCAGGCTTACTATTATACTCAATTACGAAAGTAATCAATGTATAATTTATGTAGGAATAATTGTGCTAGATTATTGCTTATTCCCTCTATGCAATTCTACAGAACGACGATACAAAAGCAAACAGCATTTCATGGTGGTAATTCATTGTGTGTGTGTGTGTGACAGTAAATTTTAATAACATAGTGTTTGTTACTTCCATATCAACCTTTAAATTCTTCAAAACTAAAAAAAAATTCTGATAAGCATACACGTTTATAAGAATTGAATTACTTACAACAATTAAACATTAAAAGGCCTCTGTACACGGTCAGTAATACTGTCAGTATCAACGAATATTAACAATATTATTGATTATGTGTGGTTAATATTAATGGATTGACGTAGAATACTGACAATGATTTGGATTTAAATACATGCTTTTTCCTTAAGATCCATGTCGCCATAGATAATAATATACGTCAAATCGCGTCAAACTGAAGTGAAATATTATTAATAATACCTGATCGTATAAGATTGTAAAAACTAATGCATACTGTCAATAATACTGATCAGTAATACTGACTCAGTATTACTGACCGTGTAGGGAGGCTTAAATAAGGCAAGTGAAACAAAGTTGTTCATTAATCATTCTACAAAATTATCGAATTGGAAATTTAATTTAATGTTGTTTTTAAAAGATATTTTTGTGGTAAATGTTAAGAACAACGGAAGCAGCTCCGATCGTTTTGACTTTGACATATGTTGTCAAGGTCATGACCCTGAGTAACCTCCAACAAGTTTTAGCCGTCGCTCGTCCTTCGTTCAAAAGTTATTAACAAAAAAGTTATAAAAATAACGTACTATTTCTGCTATACATATACGATATTAAGTATTATTAAATTCCAATCCAAAATCTTCTTATTGCTACACGAAGATATTTAGTAGCGCAAATTGTAAGCAGTAAATAAACTGATCAATTACAGTGGAGAATGTAATAAAGTTATTGTCTTAAGCGGCGTATACAATGAGCCTTTAAAATGTAAAACTTAAACTTTTAGCTATAATAAGCTATAAGAAATTGACTAATTGTAGTCGACTAGTCTCTTCACATTCGACTGTGATTGGTTAATTTTTTTACAGTTTATTAAGTCTTAAAGTTCAAGTTTTATATTTTAAGATCTTATTGTAAACGCTGCTTTACGTTTTTATATGTATGTGCCATAGTCTTAAAAAAGAAAGAGTTTGATAAAAAATTTAGAAAACCAGAAATAATATAGTAATATATGTATATTACTTATAACAGCTATTGCCTTCACTAAACATTATTTTTTATATTGACGCTCTTTCGGCTGATGTACTTGTTCTTATACTACATTATTTACTGTTAAAACAAATGTGAAGCATAATATAAGTAAATGAAATAAACTCTGTTAAACAGAAAAAAGACTTTTTGTTTTCAAAAGAAAAAAGTATATGTAAATTAAAAGTACGAGCTTCTTTTTGCTCTTGATTCTGTAACATAGGCTGTATATTCAGCAGAACACAACAGTTTTGCAACTGTCTCATAATTATCTGTAAAGATCTCTAGTAATAAGCTGACGTCAAAATAACGACAAAATGATATATTATTTGATATCAGAATAAGATCATTCTTCTGAATCTAAAAGTATAATCCAATTTTAGCGCCAAGAAAACTTTTAAAATAATTGCCAAATAAATATTAAATCTGTTAAACATTATCTACTATGTTACAGAATTAAGTAAAAGGAGCTCATAATTCTAATTTATTTGTTGTTATTTTCGATTTTTTAAACTTTTGACAATACTCTTGCATATCTTTAAAGCTATGGCATGTATAAAAAACATAAAGCGGCATTTATAATGAGATTTTATAGTATTATAGTGGCATACTATTGTTGTGTTTGCACTCTAATTGTTTCGAACTCTTAATCGTATTGAGAAATATATTTAATATGCGAGAATACAAATAGTATATAATGAGAATGCCGATCTGTCGTGTATGAATGTCTGTACACAACTGATTGTCCTGTCGACCTTCCGACTGTCGACAGCCAGATCGTTGCCGAGCCGCGCATGTTGTGACACTTAGGACATAGGCGTAGATAACAACTATAAATTTAAAATCTCCAAAATATACCAGACTGCCTACTCCTAATTTCGATACTTTAGTGCTTCCAGATATCTCTTGTATTGATTGTTGCAATGCAAGTTGATTATCTGTAAGTAACGTCGACGTGGTGTTACGTCACAAAGTGAGTCATAATAAATCACTGAAGCATCCAAGCTCAGTATTAACACAAATGTTAAAGTGAATCGTAGCTTCCGCTATCTCTCCGGCAGAGAGAAACTGGAAACGAGTTGTTTTAGTTACCTGTCACTTTATCATTTACTCTCACAATTCAACTCGTTATACTAGTTTCTCGGTTGTTAATTTAACTCACAAATCTGCTGCATTAAGTCGCGTACTACTTTGTACGTGTCTCAAAGAATGGCATCGTTGAAGCCGATGATAAGCAAAGATATGCCCGACATCGAAGTAAGTGAGAACTTTTTGTGGTAACGTTAGGAAATGATTTCTAATTTAACAATCTTCTTGAGGTGTTAGACATATTTGAATATTTTCGAATAAGATTATTTTTTATCTCGATAAAAAATCGAAAGCTTCAATGTTAAAGAAGTGTAAACAAAAAAAATGTAATATTTACTAGAAACCCTATTGAATTTAATTTCATTGACTCTTCGTGATTTTGAATATTTATATACATTTTCAAATTTCTCCATAAAGCATATGGAACACCTCGAATCGTTACATTCTTTACATTTTTTAGTAATATTGTTTTTATCAACGTTTTCCAAACACTCTGTATAGCGTGTTAAAAAGCACTTCGATACACTTTTTATACGCTGCACAATAATTTATATTTAGAAACTTAATATTTACCAATGTTTATAAAAGAGTTTAAAACGCTGTGCAATAAAAGAATGTTTCGAGCATATCAATACATTTTTCATATATTTTATTCATTGAAATTTTGTCTACGCTTCCTAAATGCTTCGCGAAGAATGTATAGGATATAGACTTCTCGCATACTTCTCAGATATATGTATGAAATTCTAAGAATATTTAAAAAATATTATGTGTTTTATACAGTCTTGTGCAAAAGTATTAGGCACCTTATAATCACCAAGTTATTTTAAATTGTAGTAAAGGGTATATATACTTTTAATTAGTAAATAGTTATTATTATTTATCATTTAGTAGATCCACGCTTAGCTTTAGTCCAAGCGAACATTTAACTCTTTGGGCTATTTCAAATTGAGATTTGCCCTGTAAAAGTTGAATCAGCAAGCGCTGATGTGCATTTTTTAGACATTATTTACTGAAAAAAACTCATCTTTCAAAAATATGAGCAATAGAATATGAAACTAACGCATACACAATAGAATAATACTTCATTGAAAAAATACAAATATTCTCAATTGATGTTCTCTATCATTTATTACTTCACTGAAAATATATCTATTTTTATATTTTAGAGTAAACATACCAGCCAACGAAAACCACTGATAAAAGAATAAATTCTAAGAACGCATGTCGGATATAACTATAGTTATATTATACCAGTTATAGTATACCAGCCAACGAAAACCACTGATAAAAGAATAAATTCTAAGAACGCATGTCGGATATAACTATAGTTATATCCGACATGCGTTCTTAGAATTTATTCTTTTATCAGTGGTTTTCGTTGGCTGGTATGTTTACTCTAAAATATAAAAATAGATATATTTTCAGTGAAGTAATAAATGATAGAGAACATCAATTGAGAATATTTGTATTTTTTCAATGAAGTATTATTCTATTGTGTATGCGTTAGTTTCATATTCTATTGCTCATATTTTTGAAAGATGAGTTTTTTTCAGTAAATAATGTCTAAAAAATGCACATCAGCGCTTGCTGATTCAACTTTTACAGGGCAAATCTCAATTTGAAATAGCCCAAAGAGTTAAATGTTCGCTTGGACTAAAGCTAAGCGTGGATCTACTAAATGATAAATAATAATAACTATTTACTAATTAAAAGTATATATACCCTTTACTACAATTTAAAATAACTTGGTGATTATAAGGTGCCTAATACTTTTGCACAAAATTGTATTTCGTGTGGTATTATATATTTTTATTTTTTGAATTTCGTTTATTTAAAGAATTTAAAGAATGAAGATTTTTTTATAAAAAAACAACAAAAGTAAGGTGTTAATATTCGGTATAAACAAGCAACAATTTATCAGTTGACAAATTTATTATAAAAAATTCATAATTAAACACGAAACATTTCGACGCATACTGCAGTCCTCTTCAGTCTCAAATACATAAAGATATCGAAATACATATAACAAATCAAATAATCTATGAGCTATAACTCAGATGTCAAATGTTCTCTCTTGGTCAATTGTAAAATAAAGGAAAGAAAATTTATAATAAATTTGTCAACTGATAAATTGTTGCTTGTTTATATCGAATATTAACACCTTACTTTTGTTGTTTTTTTATAATATAACAAGCGATTTAATACTTATATTTTTTTTATAAATTTTTACAAATTTAAACAAATATTCAACAAATATTGAATGTATTTAAATACTTTAGGCAGATTTTTAAGAATGCCTTTTAAGGGGATGCTGGAGTCGCCTGTATTTTACTGATACCATCCCCTTAAACACGTCGTTTGTTTATCCTTCAATTTCTTTAAACTCTTATCTTATATTAAAAACTACCGATATCGCTTCCCTGATTGTAAAATAATAACAGATAACATATTTTAGAATGTACTGAACATCAATTCGAAGTCCAAAATTCATACAAATTTTGTACCATCAGCGCACACCAAACAGAACAAGCAGCACTGGAAAAGGAATATCTATGAAAAATGTGACGTAAGTCACTTCAAATTCGTTTCATAACTGTTTAATTTTAATGAATAAATAAATCATTGTCAGTGTTTAAGTTATATTAATGATAATTATATTTTTTAGCTTTAAATAAAACAATTATATACACGAGTATGTATGTAAATCTACATGTTATATAAATATTAGTTACATTATATACATATACAGGGTGTCCCAAAATGCTTGAAGGTCTTTTTCCCGGCAGATTCCATGGAACATTCTAAGACAAAAACCATCTATACAAAAATGTCTAGGCTACAATAGTTTTCAAATTATAAACAATTAAAGTTGGTCAATTGTAGCGTCTGAAAATCACGCGTTCAGGGGCGAACATCGCGCAGGACCCTTCATTGACGCGCTTGTTAAATATCGATATAATTGAGACAATTGTTGCAAAATGTCTAACCGCCGAAATTCGGTTTCTTATTGTATAAAGCATTAATAGTTTTATCAGTTAATAACGCTTCATTTGTTATATGTATACTGTTATTAAGTATCGTTTCTTAAGTAAATTCTTAATTATCTTTAATAATCTCAACTTTATATAAAATAAATTTTTCCAAAGTAATATTAACGTAAATAATATGTAATTATCATATATTATCAGACATTATACGTGATGTTTAGGAGCAATTAATATTCTATATTTACAAAAAACAAAAATTATCCGATAACACAATTACGACATAATTCTCCTGTTATGTATTCTTTTGAATTTAATAGCAATATCCATTAATTGTGAAAACTTAATTTTTCTTCTACCTTCTTCAGAGTTGCGTATGTCTAACAAAGAACTTCGACGACATCAAGCATACTACTTTAAGCGAGCGAGGAGCTTTGAAGGAGGCGGCACGTTGTTTAAAATGTGTCGATGCACCTTGCCAAAAATCATGTCCTACGCAACTGGACGTCAAAGCCTTTATCACCTCGATTTCCAACAAAAATTATTATGGTGCGGCCAAAGCGATCCTATCAGACAATCCTCTCGGTCTCACTTGCGGCATGGTTTGCCCAACTAGCGATCTCTGCGTGGGAGGATGTAATCTTTATGCAACCGAGGAAGGACCTATTAACATTGGCGGGCTTCAACACTTTGCGGTGGATGTAAGCAACCTTAATTAACAATATTTAACATATTTATTGTAATAAGGCTCAACGAATTTAAAACTAATATGAGAATAGGGCTACGAGCCTTAGATTCATTAAAATCTTTAATTCTATTAATTCTATTAATTCTAATATATTGCGAAGAATATCACGTAATGTTGGCGTTTCGTCCCGGCTTCCAATACTGGACTCATCAGTAAGGTATTGTAATATTTAACATATTTTAAATAAAATTTTGATAAAATGTAGGTAGATTATTATAATATTAATAAAATCTTTAACAATAAAAATAATATCTGGTGTATTCTGTATAAAAACAGTTTGAAAATAATATATACAAATATTTTCTATTTTTTTTTTAATTTTTAAATTAATATTAACAAATACATAATATAATAAAATAGATCAGCCTCGATAGCAAAACCTACTATCTGCGAAAGCAGAGATTTAGAGCAGAGCCTGCTGACATTAATTTTTGATTGCAGAAAGGCAACAAATTGTACACAGAGACTGTATATATAGCGCCGCAGTGTGCATGCGCTAAAAGGGGGCATGTAATTATTTATAACTATATATAACTATATATATAACATAATTATGTATAATTATATATAACCATTTATATATATATATAGGGGGGAGAGAGAGAGAGAGAGAGAGAGAAAGAGAGAGAGAGAGAGAGAGAGAGAGAGGCGTATACGCAAATGGACATTTAAATGTTAAATGGCTGAACGCAGATTTTGCGCGGTTTCTGCTACCAGTCTGTCGTTAACTTCTGTCAGCAAGCTCTGCTCGTAATCTGCTGTCAGATCATGTCAGCAGACTTTGCTCGGTTTTTACCACCAATCTGCTGCAAAACATGTCAGCAAATGTCGCCAAATTCATAGCCACATGTAGACGCAGATGGCTACGGTTTTATAGCCAAAATATGATCGAGTTTGCTGCCAATTTGCGCGCAAATTGGTAACATTTTGCTATTAGGGAGATAAATATGTTGAATAAGGGCACCGATGACCTTGACATATATTGTCAAGGTTACGACCCTGAGTAACTTCCAACAGATTTTAGCCGTCACTCGTTAAAAACTTATTAAAAGTTACAAAAAAACTTACAAAAAGTTTGAAAAAAATAATGTATCATTTTTGCTATAACAAAAATTAACCCATAAATCCATGTAAAATCTAGTTTTGTAAAGTGTATGTGTGAATACAGTGGGTTAGTCTCGCCCGTCTCCCTATACGGGGGAGAGAGCTTCACTACCAAAAAAAATCAATCTAACCCAACCTATTTTTTACTTTTGGATGGGAAGTTGTAAATTCATGAAGTAATATTTAACATAAATTTATAACTTTCTACGCGTAGCGAGAGCCACCCTACATAAAAAAATTCGTTCTCTTTCAGATTTTTAAGAAGATGAATATTCCTCAAACCAGAAAGCTCAATCAAATGGTACCTCATGCAAACACGAAAATTGCCCTGCTTGGTTGTGGACCAGCTTCTCTCTCGTGTGCGACATTTCTCGCTCGACTTGGTTACGATAATATTACAATCTTTGAGAAAGAAACGTACGTCGGCGGATTAAGTTCTTCCGAAATACCACAGTATAGATTACCATATGATGTTATCAGTTTTGAAGTGGATCTTGTCAGGGATTTAGGAGTGAAAATTGAATTAGGAAAATCACTGTCTGAAAATGATTTAACAATACAGGTGAAATTAACTTAAAAATAAAATATATATTTTAATAAATAAATTTTTAATACATATAAACAATTTATGTTGTTCCATATTGATATGATTTATTGTTAGATTTAAAAATAAAAATAATTTATTATCTAAATTGTTGCATTAGCTTAAAAATAAAAACTCGCTTTTTTTTTACTCTTTGTCATTATCTCTTAATACTTAATTTTAAGAACTACTGTTCTATAAAAGTTTGTAATTAACACTTTATCAATAAATGTGGAAATGTTTCAGAATCTTCAAAATGCTGGATATAAAGCAATTTTTCTAGGTATCGGATTACCTGAGCCAAAAAACGTATCAATTTTTGAAAATCTTACGCCGGAAATGGGCTTCTTCACCTCAAAAAGTTTTCTGCCCGTTGTTGCGAAATACAGTAAACCAGGTATGTGTGTTTGCAAGAATAAACAAGAACTTCCATCTCTTTGGGGCAATGTGATCGTTCTCGGCGCAGGAGATACTGCTTTCGATTGCGCCACTTCTGCTCTGCGATGTGGTGCTAGAAAAGTCTTCGTTGTCTTCCGAAAAGGTTTCACCAATATACGGGCAGTTCCAGAAGAGGTAATCTTGTTTACAAAAGACACTTATTCCTCTCATTTAAACTTTAAATTTTTCAACCTGGAAATAATTAGAAAAAAGAAACTTTTAATATGAAAGTCAAGTTTAAAATTTTTTTTAATTTTAATGTTTGGAATTAAATTGTTAAAATTTGATAAAGTTCCAAAAATTGTTATTAGATAAATCTGGCGAAGGAAGAAAAATGTGAGTTTATACCGTTTCAATCGCCGAAACAAGTCATTTTGCGCAATAAAAGGATCGCGGCGATCGAATTTTACAGGACTGAACAAAATGAAAATGGCGAATGGATAGAAGACGAAGAGCAAAAGACTGTTTTGAAAACGGATTTTATAATTTCGGCTTTTGGTTCAGGACTGTACGACTCTGCTGGTGAGTGATATTGCTTCGATGCACGTACAAAATTATGTATTACACAATTATATATACACATGCATGAACAATTTTTTACCGATAATGTGTCTATATATGTATATAAGTTCAAAAAAGGATACTTAAAAATTTAAACCTTTTTATCTATAATAATAATATATTACCATGAAAAGTAATTGATATATTATTAATTAAAGGTAGCAGTACAAAATGAACATATATATCTACATAAAGTGTATGTAACTTTCGGTCGATTTTCGAATCGCCTTCCGCTGTTCCCCTCACCTCATCCGCGTGCGGTCCAAATGCCGCACGACGCTCGAGCGACATTTGATCTGCGCGCGGGGCGGTGAGGTGATGTGTCACCCACAGCGAAATCAAAGTAGTGCAAATACTTTTAGGCGAATCTGTTATAAATTTTTCCTTTTTTGCAATGATATAAGAATACCACAAACATAACAAAAATGCTCCGCACTGACCTTGCACGACTTTCTTGGTATTTTTATGTGTAACTTTTTTATTTCAACACAAGAAAAGACTCTTTAAATACAGTTGCAATGGACACGGTACAGACGCAACTAGCTATGAGTCGCTGTACCAGCGCATGCTTCCAACATGTAATAAATGAGATCGCATTCTTCGTTTTATGTTTCTAATCAATATAGTAAAAAGGTAGCAAAAAAGTGACATTCTTGTTAATTATATGAGTAAAATGCTGAGCGTCCTTTAGTCAAAACACGATCTGAATAAAAATCAAATTATTTTCATCATAAAAACAGTGAAGCATGCTATGGTACCGGTTAAGATGAATAAATGGAACCTACCGGAAGTGGATGAGACCACGATGATGACCTCGGTACCAGGTGTATTCTGTGGAGGTGATCTTGCGGGTACTGCCCAGACCACCGTGGAATCCGTGAATGATGGAAAAACAGCTGCATGGTACATTCACAAATATATACAGGTGTGTTGGTAATTGGTATAGATATAGTATAATGTCTTCATTAACTATCAACAAAGTTTCCGATTCTTTATAGAATGTTGCTAAAGGATAGAATCATCCCACATAGCATACTTTATCCTGAGAATATCCCAAATTGTCCCATATTGATAAAAGCGATTTCATGGATATCCCAAGGTCATTCCAAAAAAATATCGTAAAATATCGTAAAATTTCATAGGAGATCATTAACTATCCTATTAATGTCCTACAAAGTTTAGCTTGATAATTTTGGTTCGAAACTCAGCTCGAAGCTCGAATCAAGGCTCGACTCGTATTTCGACACGATACCCTAATAGCAAAGTCTGCGGAAACAGATTTGGAGCAGAACCTGCTCTGTTTCCAAATTCTTTGACATGTTTTACAGTAGATTGATTGCAAAAAAACCGAGCAGAGTTTGTTGACAATTTTTGGTTGCAGAAAGGCAACAAATTGTAGACAGAGTCTGTATTACCAAATATTGTCAGCAGACTCTGTTCAGTTTTTCCTACCAATCTGCTGTCAGGTCATGTCGGCAGACTATGCTCGATTTTTATCACCAATCTGCTGCAAAACATGTCAGCAAATGTTGTCGCCAAATCCACAGCCAAATGCGGACGCAGATGGCTACGGTTTTGTAATCGGTTTTGCTATCAGGGATATGTATATTCCATAAGTATACACAATGTTATTTCATATTTTAATTTTTACATTGCCTAGGAATTCTATGATTTGGTAGTACCAGAAATTCCACAGTTACCGAAGTTCTACACAGCCATTGACGATGTTGACATCAGTGTTGAGATATGTGGAATAAAATTCGAAAATCCTTTTGGTCTTGCTTCCGCGCCACCTTGTACCTCCAGCGCAATGATCCGACGAGCTTTTGAGACCGGCTGGGCCTTTGCTATCACAAAAACCTTTGCCTTGGACAAGGTCCAATTTCATTTCGTTACAAACTAATCGCCGAATCATAAATGACATAACATTTTATTCCGAAAATATCTCGCCACAGGATCTCGTCACCAATATATCGCCACGTATTGTCAAAGGTACTACGTCTCGTCATCATTACGGACCCGAGCAGGGTAGCTTTCTGAATATCGAGCTAATATCCGAAAAAACCGCCGATTATTGGTGCGGCAGTATCAGTGAACTAAAACGAGATTTCCCCACGAAGGTATATAATATTTTTTGCTCAAATATAATATTGAATAGAATTTACGTAAATAATAAAATAAAAATAAAAATAATATATTATGATTGAAAAATAATAAAATTAGTAGTGACAATGAGAAGATGGCTACGAGTCAAAACAATTTGTTACATACATTAATTATTATTATAGAAAATTAAAAAAAAAAAATATATATATATAAGGCGTATAAGAGTCAAGAATGATAAAATAAAAATATAAAATATAAAATAATATAATGTGTCTATTTTAAAAAATAATGATAAAACAATTAAATAATATTATAAGTCTACTACGTACATGTTTCGGCTTTATATTAGCTTTCTTCAGATACAAAAATATTATTATGCATAAAGTTCATGTTGTCTCCAATATTATTATTATACAAGCAGACAATAGCAATATAACGGTGATCCTAGACAAAGATTTTTATGTGAATAGCATAAAAGATATGTTGGAAAGAGACTTACGCAGTTATTAAAAGAGATCCTATCAAAAAACTTATAACATCTCTCAGATCTCTGCTTGTAAGATGGAAAAATTATTAGTCTTTGAATTACTGTTTCGTAAATACAGATCGCATAGCTTTTATATGAAATAAATGTTGTCAAAATTTGCAACGACATGGCAGCTCTGCAGCGCCATATTGGACTAAGAAATGGTAAAGAACTCAATTTCAAAATTTTTCGTTTTCAGCATAGATTCTACCTCACAGACATGTATTAATGCGTATACTTAAATCATGGAAAAGAATTTTCGAATCCGTAGTTAACAAATAAAGTATTTGCAATAGGAAAATTGTAGTTTAATCGGTAATATAGACGATTTTAGGATTCCTTTAACTCTGAATATTTTAAAAAGCTATAAGTGATTGACCGCCACCTAATTATTAAGACAAAGTTACTTAGGATTAAAACCTTGATATAACATATGTCAAGGTTATCGAGGCTGGGTCCCCTGTAATAAATAATTACCGAAACCTCTTTAGTTGCTAGTGACCAAGCTTTCATTTGCTAAATATCGAATTTTTTTTTGCACAGATCGTCATTGCAAGTATCATGTGTACCTACAACAGGGCTGATTGGACGGAACTGGCAAAAAAAGCGGAATCTGCTGGTTCTGATGGTTTAGAATTAAATCTATCCTGCCCGCATGGTATGGGTGAATCTGGAATGGGTCTGGCTTGTGGACAGGTTTGTCCATTTAATTCTTGTCTTCTTATTTACAGCTCGATATATGATAACAAATTGAAATTGGTTTTAGGATCCTGAACTAGTTAGAAACATCTCTCGATGGGTTCGCGAAGCCATCAAAATACCATTTTTCGTAAAATTGACACCCAACATCACTGACATTCTTTCTATTGCCAAGGCAGCTTATGATGGTAATTAAATTTATTTTAAAATATTAAATAAAATTAAAACTATGTATATAATGTGCAAAATAATAACAACAATCATGTCGAATTGAATATTTTCTTCTTATTCACAATACTAATTGCAAAAGTTATTTATACGTGAAGTAACTTTATGCATCTACTACTTACATTCTTAAATTACTTAAATTTTTATGAAAGATCATACATTCAGCAAGAGTTATACTTATATAAGGTACCTTAACCGAATAAGGCCCACCTAACTTATTTTATTTTTTTAAATTTTATTTAGAAGGATATTGAAATAAACTTTATAAAAATAACATATTTATTCCAAAAAATATATGCTTAAGGGAGGAATCTCATTTATACAGTCAAAAAAATCGATTTTTCAAAAGTTGTCTTAATCGATAGCAGCACCTCACGAGAATGACTGCAGGTTATCCCTGCCAAAATATTCCGTTTTACTTAGAAAGTACAAAGAAAACTGGAAGGGGAATAATTGAATAATTCCGATCAAAACTTATTTTATTTAATTGTATAATGTATATCCTAATAGAAGAAAATCTCCAGCCAATTTCTCTAGAATATCTGCCCGTGGTCCTTCCCATTTGGTGATCTTACGGTTTGCCTACTGCCTGTGACGGTAAAATTGGCATATATTTTTTTCTTAATGTTTTAATTAGTAACTTATCTTGTGATATAGGTAAGGCTGATGGCGTTACTGCTATTAACACAGTTTCCGGATTAATGGGATTGAGCGCCGATGCGACTCCGTGGCCGGCGGTCGGTCTTAATAAGTTCACAACATATGGTGGGATATCGGGAAACGCAATTAGGCCTCAAGCCTTGAGAGCAATTTCAACAATCTCGAGACATCTTCCAGGATTTCCGATACTGGGTACTGGCGGCGTCGACTCGGCCGACGTCGCTCTGCAATTCTTGCATTGCGGTGCATCAGTCGTTCAGGTATCGTCAAATTTCCCATAACATCCTTATCTTTATTAAATCATAAATTTCTTCTCCTTGTATTGTTCCACGTTATTCGTACTACTTTCCATTGCTTTAAACTGCACATGAATACGAGCTTATTTGGCTATCTTTAGGTATTAAAATCTCATTTAATATTACAACCATTGCATAATGGTACAGAAAACATTTATGTATATTGTTTGTGTGCGTATACGTGCACACATGCGCCACAGACTCGCGAACCAAAAAATAACTTTTTGATTTTTCTGTGATAAGAAAATGAATAGAATAGAATTTTATTCACTTCAGCTATATAAAAAATAGTCAAGAAGGGGACTTGGTAAAAAAAAGTAAAAACTTAACTATCCGCGTCCATCCATATATCTTTCATACACTCCTATACTGTGCTTTTATCTTATTTTACATTTTACATTTTATATTTTTTACTTTTATACATTTATACATTTCTACGTTTGTTTCCAGCTACTTATAATATTGCCATTTCCTTATGCTCTACAACTATCCTACTTACAGCTTGTTGTTATCACTTGTATACAGGCCTGACTGCCTCACCAATATCATACTTTGCTTTTCTACATCTCCTGTAACTCCAATACTACTTCACCTTACTTTCTCTCCTGTTAGCCTATTTTCTCTAACCCTTATATCCCTTTCTACCCTCCTCTCTCTCAATATTTCCCCCCTATCTTTCCACGTACAGCTTCTTTATTACCTCACCTTTCGTTTCATCTAACTTTTCATCCCATGATATCCCCAGAATTTCACCGTCTGTCATGACGTCCCACCCTTCAAACCTTCCTCTTAATTTCTCATATTATACAGAAGTTCCTAATTATATAGTTCTCTAATTATACAGAAATTATGAAAAATTCTAAGAAACATTTTTGCTTAAGTATCGCGAATAAACAATTAATTGAATATTTTTAATACATAGGTCTGTAGTGCTATTCAAAACCAAGATTTCACATTGATAGACGATTACGTGACCGGTTTAAAAGCGTTGTTATATCTAAAGAGCTTGGCACAGGTAAAGGATTGGGATGGACAAAGCCCACCAACGTTTAAACATCAGAAGGGCAAACCGATATCCTTGCAGCATGCTCTTGGCAAAGTAAGAAACATCAATTAATATCTGCATAAATAAAATGAAATAATTTAAAAAAAAAAAAAACTTCTGTAGAATGTACCGTATTTCGGCGAGTACCAAAGGCTGCGCGAGCAAAAGATAGCTGAGCTAAAAGCGAACTCAAATCCTTTAAACGAGATCGTTGAGGTGAGGCGACCGGTTTCAGGACCAATTGCACCGATACCTACCGTCAAAGACATAATCGGCAAAGCATTAATTCATATTGGCAGCTATAAGGAATTGGACAACAGGAAACAAGTGGTCGCTTTGATTGACGATGTATGTTAAATGATATTTTAATCGCTCAATTTATTTTATTGTTACAAAGTACAATGTTGCATTTACTTACTATTTTTTTCCAGGACATGTGCATAAATTGTGGCAAGTGTTATATGGCTTGCGCGGATTCTGGATATCAGGCTATCACTTTTGATCCCTACAGCCACATCCCAACAGTAACGGATGACTGCACCGGTTGTACGCTCTGCTTATCCGTTTGCCCAATAATCGATTGTATTACGTAAGTTGCAAATACAAAATATCTAATCCGTTTTATCATGATTCTCTGTTTCAGAGATGTCTGGTTTTTCAATTTATTCTTATTTATTTTATTTTTAGTATGGTCCCAAAAACGATTTCGCATGTAATTAAAAGGGGAGTGCCGCCGAAGAATGTGATCGAAATTTGTTAAATAGTGGATTCTTTTGTTAAAAAAGTAATTATAAAAAAATTATAATCAGCATTATTTTGTGTACGCAAATAATTGATTATGAAATCGATTGTTAAAACATCAAGCAAAGATAATAACGTTTTATATATGCGAATAGAGTATTCCAAGTCAAAGTGAATTTTTTCTCATTCATTTTCAAAAACATTCCGAATTTTGATAAAATTTACTGAAGTTAATGGACTTGACTTTCAAAGAAACAAATATTTTGGAAAATCTTTGTTGTTAGACCTTATAGATGACAATAAGCTTAGGATTATTTATGCGAGATTTTGATATGACTCATGAATCCGTTTGCAGATGAGTAATGAAATATCTGTAAATCATAATATTTAGGAAAGGGTTTTACGGGTAGACAAGAAGTGAAACCCTTTTAACCCTACCACGCATATTTTGATATTAAAACATATCATGTTATTGGTTATAATTAAACGGAAACTCCATCTTTTTACAAATACTAAAATCTTTTTAAGACCGTACAATTGATAAACAATAAACTAACAAGAAGAAGGAAACCGTAATAATGGTCAAAGCCAATAACGGTCGAAGCTGGATCACAAATGCTTATTAAAATTATGTGTGAATTTTATATACCGCGTATGTAGTTTCCCTATCGTGTGTCGAAATTTTTTCAGACTTAATATCACTTTAGTTAAATTGACAATCAATCTAACAATTTTTGATGCTTATAACATCTTATTGGATCTTAATAATGTTGAAAGATATATATTAAAATTTAACGATGTAATATTTAAAGTAATGATAAATCAAACTCTGTGAAAAATCCATCTTTTTAGTTGAAGTGAAGATCTCTCCAACTCTAACCCAATCAGTCTGTTCTTGTAAGCTGCGAATACACCTCCGACTTTGTTTGTAAGCTTGTCAGCATCATTATTAAATAAAGTCTGGTCAGAAGACAATGTTCGTGATCCCTTCTCTATATACATACACACACATGTATATATATATATACATATATATATATTACTTATATAGGTAATATATTATTTACTTAAAAATATATATTATTTACTTAAAGGTAAATGAAATTTATTCAATATTTAATTTTTTTTTTATTTCAACATTATTTCATTAAAAAAATGAGTTTCCATTTGACTTACTGATCAAATTTTCCTACAATCGCTCATCTTTGCAACTACTATATTATCCACTTCACTAATAAAAATGGACATAATTCAGTAGAAAAATGCGTTTCTCGAACTTCAAATTTTATATGTAACTAAAGGATTGATTTTTATTTTTAGTTAACTGTTGTAATAATAATTATATATATAATATTACAAATTCTATTATTATTAAAAATTAATAAAATAATACGAGATATACATTTTTCACCCCAAAATGCATTTTAATTTTGATTGACAGTAATGTATATACTGTCAGTAATATGGTCTTTTACCCTACTTTTTTTAAAATGTTTATCAAATAAATGAAATATACTTCAAAATTTTATCACGCTTGTTACACTTACTGTGAGGACTTCAATCACGTTTCGTTCACGTTCATCGAAAAGTTTGATAACATTCATTCGAAGAGACATGAGAGAAGACAAGAGAAAACGGAAGTCCTCCTGTGAAACGAGATATGTGCGTGCGCATGTGTATGTGGATGTATAGAGGCGAAGATAGTTTTAAGTTATTTTAAATTAGTCATATAAATTAGTATGAAAGAATGTTTGTATATGTGTAAGTGATTGTAACCCCGAAGGGATCGCAATAAATTTCTATTAATGATATAATATTATGGTTAATCATAATCAATTTCTAATTAATTATTCGACGAGTTGAAATTACTGAAAGAAAGAAAATTGTATTATACACTATATGTTATTCGATATGGAGGCTATATTCTATAGCAATAAGTATCCAATAGGTTGTGGCGAGTTATATCAATATTAAGCGTTGTCGAATGTAAACATTTGTTCTGCATCTTCCTATATACATACTTAAGAATTAATGTATGATACAATTAATAGGGAATATAACATTATTAAAACTTAATATAGTATTATTAATTTAATTTAATTGTATTTTACTTCAAAACTATATCATGAAGAGAGAACGGGATTCGTTATTATATTTCTAGAAAAAAAAACAACGAGATAAATGGCAAACATATGGTAGCTTCCGCCTAGTTTTTATTTTTCTGTCGCTACTTAATTATAATTTTTGTGTTTCTTCCTTCTATATTTCTTTTTCTCTCTCACACTATCACTCACACACAACACTATTATTTTCCTTTTCTCAGTCAGATCTCATTCAGCTATTACATATTTAAAATTTAATTAATGATAATTATTAATTAAGTGTTCTTTTTAGTTACTAATTATTAAGATTATTGTAGATTATTAATTAATCATTAAAATATATATAATATAATTAATGTACATCCGCATCGTTGCATGTCTAAAATGGAGACTATATACTCGTATATGAATATCTGGATCCTTGGATTCGAATATTTAAAAATATAGAAGTTTTCAACCTTTGTGTTTTGAGTTTCTTGAACTCCGTAATTCTCTTAAAAGTTTCTAAATTGCATGTATATAAATATTAGTTAGGTTTTGAAATTCGCGAACATATTATATTAAGTCCATAAACTTCTAGTTTCTTGAATTATCAAATGTTTTCAGTTCTTTAGATTACTGAAATTTCAAATCTCAGGATCCTTGTATTCTTAAATAATTGGATCAGTAAATCCTATGACTTTCAGTTCCAGTGTTTTACGCGTTTTATTATATACTCCTTTTGCATTCTCATTTCATCTGTCTTCAATTGGAATTATATACTTATTGATAACTCACTACTATGTATCTCATTTTCTTACTCATTTAAACATATATTTAAACGTTTGCCGAGTATCATTTTTATATATGCCGCATATAATTTGTAACTCAGTCTATACATGCGTGCGCGCGCACGTGTGTGTGTGTGTGTGTGTGTGTGTGTGTGTGTGTGTGTGTGTGTGTGTGTGTGTGTGTGTGTGTGTGTGCGTGCGTGTGTGAGCACGCGTGCGTCCCTGTGTATGTATAAATAATATGTGTAGTGTCAGCAGCAGCAAGAATAATGACAGAGGTGGTAGTCGTTGTAGTGATAGTAGCAGTAGTAGTAATACTAATAATAGTAATGGTGGCACTAGCATTAAGAAGATTAACAGATGGTGGTGGTAGTGATGATATAGTAGCAATAGCAGTAGTAGTAGGCGTGTATTTTCACGTATCTTTGAAAATGTGCACGTATATATATTATATACACGATCGTGTGTGTCCAGATACACGATTTCATATGTGTATGTACACACACACGCACGCACGTACGCACGTACGCACGACACACGTACGCACGTGCGCACGCACATATACATATGTATATATATAGATCATACATATATAGTGTTCTACTATTTGAATTCATCTTAAATATCTTTGCTATTCTAAATAATAAGAAAATTTTCTAACTATGTTTTATCCGTAGAAACATAATAATACTTTTATTGAGGATGGAGACTTCATAAGAGATTTCAAGGACAACCGAAGTTTTTAATAAAACATGATTTTCTTTACATAATATATGATTCCTCTAATCATTCGAAATGTAAAAGTATTGAGATAAGGTTATCAACAAATAAATACGTAGTTCACAAAGGAGCATGCATAACACAGGCGGCTAAAGTCATAAGCAGCAGAAGCGGATATTCGTTGAATTATATTTGAATGTGCTATGATTGCGATGAAGCTGCATCTTTTTAAATGTCGGCAGCGCCTTCATTAAAATTATCTTCCTCTATAAAGAGATTATCCATTCTAATTTAGCAGGACATGTAATTTTAGATGTGTGATTTTAAAATAATCTTGATTTATAAATATTTATAAATCAATTCAAAATACATATGTTCAATTTATAAATATTTAATTAAAAAGAATTATATTTTGTGCAAAAATATGCAATCATGTACTTTTTAAGTTATATAGTAATAATATATTAGGTGTTAAACTTAATTCCTGCCGCTCTCGCTGCTAGAGAGTGCTGGCTCCAACGCTGGCGAGTTTCGACGATGAAGTCATATGTCTTTTGTAGTTTAAATATTACTAAAAGTGATTCAATGCTCACAGGTTAGATTTCTCGACACCAAAGAGATTTTCTAATCGATTGAAAATGAATCGCGATAAGTTGTTCTTCCGACATGTGCTTCTTCACTACTTTGACTTCAAGAAAACCGCAGCTGAAGCGCATCGCTATTATTATCCGAAGTGTATGGTGATGAAACTCCATCGGAAAGAACATGTAGAAACGGTCCGAAACGGTTGATTTTGATGTGAGAGACAAAGAACGCCAGGACAGCCGAAAAAATTTGAAGAAGTCGAGCTGCAAGAATTGCTTGAGAATCCAGCTCAAACGTTTTTAGAGTTGTCGAAAGCGTTAAATGTTACTCCAAAGGCCGTCTCAAAACGCTTGTATGCCAAGGGAAAGATTCATAAGGAAGGGATATAGCTACCACATGAGTTGTCAGAAAATGCTATTTTGAATCGTTTGTCTATTGCGACTTTTTTGCTTGCCAAGCAAATAAAAAAGAGTTTTTTGTGGCGCATCGTGACTGGCGATGAAAAATGGATTTATTTTGATAATCCCAAGCGGAAAAAATCATGGATGGACCCCGGCCAACCATTCACTTCAACGTCGAAGAGGAATAATACCACGAGCATAAGACCTTGCTTTGCATTTGGTGGGACCAAGAGGGTGTGCTGTATTACGAACTCTTGCGTCCAAATAAAACCATTACAGCTGATCGTTACCAACACCAATTATGCCGATTGAGTGACGAATTGATGCAAAAAAGATCATCAGTAGCCAACAATCGACGCAAAGTCATTTTGTTGCATGATAACGCTCGACCGCATGTTGCGAAAAGCGTGAAGCAAACACTTTTACAATTTGAATGGGAAATCTTCCCGCATCCAGCGTACTCTTCAGACTTGGCACCGTCGGATTACCATCTCTTCCGATCGATGCAACACGCACTTACGGACACACACTTCTCCAGTTACGA